ATAGGTACTCCATACCTAAGACAAATAGATAGGGGGAAAGGGGATCCCGTTGTCTTAGTCCTCTAACACCATTGAAGAAACCATGAAGAGAACCATTTATTGATAGGGAGAACTTTGGAGTTGTAATGCACTCCATTATCCAACCAGTCATGATATCCGGAAATCCCAAACCCTTCAACATATCTTTAATGAACTCCTTGTTAATGGTGTCAAAAACTTTTCTAAGATCAATATTTAAAATAGCTCTTGGTGAAGACTGCCTCCTACCATAATGTTTAATGAGTTTATGAGCTAATAAGATATTGTTAGAAATAGCTCTCCCTTTGACAAATGCACTTTGAGCATCACTGATAAGAACCCCCATCACCTTTTGAATCCTACTAGCAATTATCTTAGTGATTATCTTGTAAACATAGTTGCAACAGGAAATTGGCCTAAAATCAGAGGGTGACTTTGGATTGAGAATCTTAGCTACAAGAGTGATTGATGTAGTGTTTAAGGGACCAAGCATCTTACCAGAATAGAAGAACTCTTCAACAGCAAGAAAAAGATCCTCATTAATCACATCCCAATGTGCTTTGAAAAATGAGGCACTATACCCATCGGGACCAGGAGCTTTGTCATCGGATATGAAAAAAATGGCTTCCTTAATCTCATCTCTTGTAACAGGTAGGCTTAAGCTATCCCTTTGATTTGTAGAGAGAATCGGACCATTAGAAATAACTTGATGATCAGGCTTTGCAACAGGTACAGTAGTGCCCAATAACTTTCCATAGTAGTCAATGAATTCAACAATGATATCTTTCATATCAGTCAATTTGACACCGTCTTCAGTGTATAAGGACAATATTCTATTTTGATGTCTTTTAGCCTTCATAATTGAATGGAAGTATTGTGTGCGTTTGTCTCCATGGATCCCTCATTTGATATTAGCTTTTTGCCTATAAAAGGAGGTTTCACAATTTACCAATCTAACATATTTTGCAAGACATTCTTTTTCTCTTGAAATCAGTTCAGGATTAAAGAGGTCAGAATTTAGCTGATTTTGAATCACATTAAGATCCTCTTTTTCCCTAAGCACTTGTTCACTTATATTCATAAAGTTCTTTTTGTTCAGATCCTTCAGAACATGCTTGATTTCTTTAGTTTTGCATGGAGTTTATACATCTGATAGCCATAAACATCTTGCTCTCATGTTTCCTTAACTGTTGAAAGAAAATCAGGATGATTACTCCACATTTTAAAATACTTCAAAGAT